CCCCACCATGAGCATTTCTTCACACATAAAAAATACATGAGTCAAATTGTAACCTATCAATGATAGTGATGGCAACTCAAGAAAATAAATAGTAGAAATGCAATTGAGTGGCCACCCAATCAAAACCTTATAACTTTTTCTCAACTCTCTTTTCACTCATTCACTTTTTCCCTCATATTAACAAGATTATGTTTGTTAGTTATTACTTAGCAGATGTATCAAAGTCAGAGAATTATGATTTGGATTACATTATACCATATCTTATGAAGTAATGAATATTTTTTAGGATAATATGTTTTGAACTGTATTAAGAATGATTATCTCTTTGTTGGCTTCATAATATAGTAGGTGCGTTTAATATTGTAATTGAAAATTTACATGTAAAATTTTAGGTATTATAATGTTAGATGAACGGGACGGATATTATCCATGGATATCCGAAATCAACAGGTATAGGGATGAGTTTGCAAAACCTTTCGAGATAGATATAGGACGGGAAAAATTTGGATATTTAAAAGCGAGAATGAAGATGGTTTAGAAGGGAGGCAGGGAGCGGATCAGGTCAGTAACCTTATGATGAGTAACCATGAGTAACACGTCCACATCAGCATGACATCAGCATCCCTTTCTCTCTTGGAAAGCCTTTTATCTTTTCCCCTTTAATCTTTAACAGACGATTTCTCTCTCGTTTTAAGTCAAAATTTATATTTTTTTGCACAAATAAATCAGATTAAATGTGCCCTTTTGAAATGATATCCACTTTGATATATTTTTAGTACAAAAAATTGAGTCATTTTTTACCAGTCATTAGCATATGGTATGCTACTATTTAATACCATATGGTAAGAAAGCGTACCATGATGGTATGAACATACCAATACGGTAAGAAGGTTAAATACATGATAGTAGGAGTATACTAACTGTCATTTACGACTTTCATCTTTGATCACTACAAGTTACCACCCACATACCATAGTGGTAAAGTATGGTAGTTTTTGGTCCAGTATTTTTTTCACCTGGAAATTTGTTGATCCAATAGATCATGATGAACTCGTTCCTACTGAGCAAACGTTTTCGAAAACAACTTAAAAACGAAGAAGTTACCATATGGTATGTAGTTGGTAACGGGTGGTATGAAAAACAGTTTCTCGAAATATATTGAAAATTGATCTCATTTTGTAGAGCACAATGAACACGTTCCATCTGTGCAAAAAAAATTAAAATCCGAGTTAGAACGAAGAAGATAAGAGTCGATTAAGAAAACTAGGGAAAATAAAATACATTTAATTGACAACCTTTACATCTGAATTTTCTGGACCCACTTAGAACTAAAGGTACATATTTAGTTACTCATAGGTTAGTAACCAATGGTTGGCTCAAGATAGGGTGCATAACCTGATCCGTTTTTCCAATGGTTACTAACCCTATACTAAGCCGGTTTAGACAAACCCGCTCATTCTCATCCCTAATTATGGGTTTAGGATAGGGTCAGTAACCATTGGTTACTGACCTATGAGTAACTAAATCTGGACCTTTAGATCTAAGTGGGCAAAGAAAATCCAGATCTAAGGGTTGTCAATTAAAGACATTTTAGTTTCCCTAGTTTTCATAATCGGCTCTTATCTTCTTCGTTTTAACTCGTATTTCAATTTTTTTTGTACACATGAAACGAGTTCGTTGTGCTCTACAAAATGATAACAATTTTCAATATATTTCGAGAAATTTTTTTTACCAACTACATACCATATGGTAACTTCTTTGTTTTTAAGTCGTTTTTGAAAACGTTTGTTAAGAAGAAACGAGTTCATCATGATCTATTGGATCTACAAATTTCAGGGTGAAAAAATACTAGACCGAAAATTACCATACTTTATCACGGGTAAAATACCTTGGTATCACTTATGTTTGAGAATTGGGGCAGGCATACCGTTTATGTTTGAATAGGGCGTCGGGTACCACTGAACTCTATTATTTGTGCACCCGGTACCACTTAAGTTTAATGTTAGGTGCATTCCGTTAAAGTTAACAGAATATTCTTGGAATATTCTGTTTTCTAAATTTCTTAATTGGTCCTTCTACTTTTCTTATTGTAAACAAATCATTTTGACTTATAAAAAACATCAATTTTTATTATTTAGTTGGTATCCTCTTTTGAAGACTTGATACCAAATTAATTTTTAAAAAGAAAATTTAGAATCAACTATCATTATAAGTATTTTCAATTATCATTATGTTTTATAATAATTGAATTATTCTCTAAAGCAAATATATCCTATGAATTCTATTTAGTTGAAATCCCCTTTTGAAGACTTTCATACCAAACAAATTTTTGAATAGGAAATATAAAATCAATTATCATTATAAGTATTTTTAATTACCATTATATGTTATAATAATCGAATAATTTTCTGAAGCAAATATATCCTATGAATTATATATCGATATAAATAATATGAGGATGTTATATTTAATTCTTGTACATCATGAGGATGCTGTATAATTTTCTATGTTAAATATCCTTGTAATTTTCTATTTTATTTTCTAGATTTGTTACGGAATTATTTAGATTTTATTTATTTATTACTTGGTTACTACCGTTCTATTTTCGTTCATTTTTTTTTCAATTACTGGAATATGTTTAATTCTTTCTGACTGTGTTCCATTTATCCTTCTTTGGTCTTGATCGATTAGGTTCTGTTTTAACTATTTTTAATACTACTTCTAATTGGATTAGCGATTTAAATAGATCTTCTAATATTGATTTTAAATATTTATTATTATATTCTATATATTTATTCTTCTTCTTGGTATTTTTTTATTATTTTTACTAATTTATCTATTTTATTGTCAATTTTGATTAGTCATTTTAGTAATACTATGTTTAGAAGATTTTTTAATTTCTATATTAGATAAAAACTTGTTGATATATAGTTTTGGATGTTTTTAAAAGTTTTGGGTACCAAAAAGTAATTAAAATTTTGGGTTGGATGGAAAACTCGATGGATGCATATTTTGACGACTTTAATGGTACCCGGCGCCCTATTCAAACTTTAGTGGTATGTCTGTCCCAATTCTCAAACTTAAGTGGTACCAGAGGTATTTTACCCACTTTACCATTATAGTATGTGGGTGGTAACTTGTGATAGATAATGATGAAAGTCGTAAATGACAGTTAGTATACTCCTACTATCATGTATTCAACCTTCTTACCATATTGGTATGTTCGTACCATCATGATACGCTTTCTTACCATATGGTATTAAATATGAGCATACTATATGGTAATGACTGGTAAAAAATTATTCAATTTTTTGTACTAAAAATATATCAAAGTGGATATCATTTTAAACAGCACATTTAATCTTATTTATCTGTGAAAAAATTTTAAATTTCGATTTAAAACGAGAAAGAAATCGTTCGTTAAAGATTAAAGGGGAAAAGATAAAAGACTTTACAGGAGAGAGATGATGTCGATGTCATGCGAATGTGAGCAGATTAGTGATGGACGGTGGACCTGATAGTTACTCACCATATGAGTTACTGATATGATCCGCTTCCCTAATTATGGAAAAAATCCAAAAGTACCACTGTTTAAAAAAAAAATTCCAAAATTACCACCCAACCCCAAAAAAATACCACCCTTTTTCAAAAACCGCCACCCCACCCAGCGGTTTGGTTGAAAACCGCTTGTCGGGGGCGCGGTTTCTATGCAAACCGCGGGCCTAGGGGGCAGTTATAAAAAAAAAAATGGACCAAACCGCCGGGTGGGGTGGCGGTTTGGCCCAAAACCGCCACCCCACCCAGCGGTTTGGTCCAAATTTTTTTTTTTCGATCAACTCCTAACTTCGGACGAAACTTCAAACGAACGTAACTTTGCACTCGGATATCCGATCGTAGCGATTGTTTTTTTCATTTCGCATAACTTTTCAAGATCTACAATTCTTACTAGGATGAAATTTTCAAAAAAGGAACTATTTGTGGATATACGGGACCTTGGAAATAACTTTACCTTTATTTTTCAGAAATCCATGTACATTTTGAAATTATGACTATATTAAAACTTGTAGATCTTGAAAAGTTATGCGGAATAAAAAAAAATTCATGACATTCGGATTTTGGAGCACAAAGTTATGGCCGCCCAAAGTTTGACGAAATCAAAAAAAGGCTCGTTCGGGGTGGCAAATGACGTTTTCTCGAGACGAAGGCGGGACCCGGCTATTTGAGACTTGCAAGATCTCAAAAAGTTATTCGGATTCAAAAAATGGAGGCCGCAAACTTTTTGAGATATTGCAAGCCGCAAACCTCCGGGTCTCGCCTTTCGTCAAACTTTGGGCGGCCATAACTTTGTGCTCAAAATTCCGAATGTTATGAATTTTTTTTTGATTCCGCATAACTTTTCAAGATCTATATTTTTTAATATAATAATAATTTCAAAATGTACATGGATTTCTGAAAAGTAAAGGTAAAGTTATTCTCAAGGTCCGGTATATCCACAAATATTTCCTTTTTTGAAAATTTCATCCTAGTAAAAGTTGTAGATCTTGAAAAGTATGCGAAATGAAAAAAAATATCGCTACGATCGGATACCCGAGTGCAAAGTTACGTTCGTTTGAAGTTTCGGCCAAAGTTAGGAGTTGATCGGGAAAAAAAAAATTGGACCAAACCGCTGGTTGGGGTGGCGGTTTGGCCCAAAACCGCCACCCCACCCAGCGGTTTGGTCCAAATTTTTTTTTTTTATAACCGCCGCCTAGGCCCGCGGTTTGCATAAAAACCGCGCCGCCGACAAGCGGTTTTCGACCAAACCGCTGGTTGGGGTGGCGGTTTTTGAAAAGGATGGTATTTTTGAAAATTTTTGGGGTTGGGTGGTATTTTTGGAATTTTTTTTTAAAACAGCGGTACTTTTAGATTTTTTCCCCTAATTATGGAACACTACAGAGCCAGTTCGGCGGCCGGATAGAGTGGGTCCCAATGTGGAGCCAGACCTCCCAAGAATCTTCCACGTTTCCTTTTCGCACCGAAATCAAACAGTCCTGCCTGGCTGCTGACTCACCTCCCCGATCGTCCAAATCCAGCTCAGTCCCTTCAATGTTGCTGTTCCACCCGCCGTTGGACTCTTGGCTAATGAAAATTTCTCCATTCATCGTCTACGTCCAAAATCCCAGAATCCCGATTCCCTAACTTGACACCTTTTTTCCAGATCAATCATGGCCTGGTTTCGGACCCTGACCCGAATGTCCGCCACAGCCAAATCTTGGCCGCCTCCGCTTCTACCTTCGCCACTCAGAACCGTACCCACCGCCCCAGTAGCCTCCGCGTCTCTGCTGCTGACCTCGCTTCGAAACTTCAGCACAGGCACCGCCGCCTCCCCTGCCGTCGAGGATCGTCCTCCGCCGCATCTGTCGCAGTCTCCGACCCACTGCGGAGACCTGGGGCCCACCGAAGGCGGCGAGAAGCCGAGGGTGGTGGTGCTCGGATCCGGATGGGCCGGCTGCCGGCTGATGAAGGGAATCGATACCAGCATCTACGACGTCGTGTGCGTCTCGCCGAGGAATCACATGGTTTTCACGCCTCTCCTGGCCTCCACTTGCGTCGGGACCCTGGAGTTCAGGTCGGTTGCCGAGCCCGTGGGTCGGATCCAACCCGCAATTTCGAGGGAACCCGGATCCTATTTCTTTCTCTCCAATTGCAAGGGGATCGACGCTAAGAACCACCGGGTACGCCTGCTATTTCTTTTTTTCATACTGTTTTGCTCAATTTGAAGTTGGATGCTGAGGCCTGAGAGGAGTTCGGGTTTTTGCATTGAAAGGTGATTTGTGAAACTGTGACTGATGGACCCAACACGCCGGACCCGTGGAAGTTCAACATTTCGTATGACAAATTGGTAATTGCCTTGGGAGCTGAGGCCTTGACGTTTGGCATCCATGGTGTGAAAGAACATGCGATTTTCCTCAGAGAAGTTCATCATGCCCAGGAGATAAGGAGGAGGCTGCTCCTGAATTTGATGCTGTCTGATGTCCCAGGTAGGAAATTGAAACCTTGAAGTGTAATTTCTGCTGGATGGTGGTGGTGGTGGTGGTGATTGAAACTTGTTGTCTCGGATTGTTCTACAGGCACTACAGAGCAAGAGAAGAGCAGGTTGCTGCATTGTGTTGTTGTTGGGGGCGGCCCGACGGGAGTTGAATTCAGTGGAGAGCTTAGTGATTTCATCATGAGGGATGTTCGCCAAAGGCACGCCCACGTCAAGGATTACATTCGTGTTACTTTGATTGAGGTCCCCTTTTGCTTTACGAGTTGCTATTTCAATGAAATGGCTATTAGATTATCTTTCTGATAGAGGAATAGAAAAGGAAAGTGGGGATGTAACTTCTAGGACAAAAAGAAACGACCTTTTAGTTTTGGAATCTCATGCTAGAATAGATTGGTGAAGGAATATTGAAGTGTGTTTTCTGCTGTCATCAGGCGAATGAGATTTTGTCTTCCTTTGATGATCGTCTGCGGCGGTATGCTACCAGACAGTTGACTAAGGTGAGTTCAGGCTTGCTTGAATGATGAAAATACAAGTTGTTATATCCCTTTAATGGTTGAGATAATTGGTGTTTGGTTGTTGTTGGATAAATCAATTGTTTCTTTTGTCATTCCTATTGATTCTCAGTCAGGGGTTCATCTTGTTCGTGGGATAGTCAAGGATGTTGAACCTGACAAGATAGTTCTTGACAATGGGACGGAGGTTCCATACGGTTTACTGGTTTGGTCTACAGGCGTTGGCCCTTCATCTCTTGTCAAATCTCTTGACCTGCCTAAAGCTCCTGGTGGAAGGTAAGTTTTGTGCTCTTTCTTATTCTCCGTGACTTATGCACAGGTTCTCTGGCTATCTCAAGTTTCTAGTTGCTTCTTCAGATAGTGTCTTTTAGGTAATCTAAAGTTTTCAACTTAAGTATAATGGATAGTGGAAACTGCATCCGGATTTGAAGTACGTAAGCTCTTGATAAATTGTTCGACTACCTCCCCTTTGCTTATAGAATCGGGATTGATGAGTGGCTGCGGGTAGCCAATGTGCCGGATGTGTATGCAATTGGTGACTGCAGTGGGTTTGTCGAAAGCACTGGTAAACCAGTCCTGCCCGCTTTAGCCCAGGTGAGCGCTAAACAAACCATAGCATCTAATCTCGAGTTTTTTGCACTGGCTCTTCAGTTTTGGCTGCCACATTCTCAGCTGGTGATTTTTTGGATAGAGCAGGTTGCAGAGCGGCAGGGAAAATATCTTGCGGGCCTACTGAATAGAATTGGCAAAGCGGGAGGAGGGCGTGCAAACAGTGGAGCGGAAGTAGACCTTGGGGATCCATTTGTGTACAAGCATCTGGGAAGCATGGCTACACTTGGGCGGTACAAGGCTCTTGTGGATCTTAGACAGAGCAAAGTCAGGACCCTTCTGCTCTCTCTCTTTTCTTTTCTTCACTTGTAGAGCTTTTAACACACAGCACAAACCCATGTCACCTGATGGGGGCACTCATTTTCCGTTTGCTTTCGAACAGGAAGGTAAAGGGATATCCCTGGCTGGTTTCTTGAGCTGGTTCATATGGCGGTCAGCATATCTTACACGGGTGATAAGCTGGAGGAACCGGTTTTACGTTGCTGTTAACTGGCTTACTACCATGGTGTTTGGTCGCGATATCAGCAGAATATGAGAGGCCGAGGGAGGATTCAGGTAGAGTTGTTAGACAGACTATCTTGGATTTGGTGGTGATAACATACACTTACATTGCCTTTGATTTGCATGCTTATGGCAACTTGTTTTCCACCTGGAGACAGTTGAATTGCAGGCACGGCGTAATAGCTAATTCCACGGCGAGCAATTATGCATACTGTTCCTCTGCTTCATATCTAAAAGCTTATTCTGTGGTTGGTGATTATTGGAGCCAACAACATAGATGTCTAGGTACAGTTTTATTTTATGTTTCTCAAACAAACAAGGGATGTACACTGTTAAAACGTCATTCCTATACGACACATAAATGTGCTGTACATTTTCCGTGCCTGAGCTTTTAGCTTTAGTTACCCTGTTCCATACAGCTTTACTTCAGTGCAGACGACAATGCATTATAAAATTGCACGCCTTAGACTTTTTTCACTTCTGCATTAGGGTTTTTTTTTTTTTATATATATATTGGATGTAATGCATTGTTGGATCGCGCTCGACGCAGCTGAATCGATGCTGTAGTATTTTCATGGAAACTTACCAGTTAGTCAAATGAGAGGGATTAGAGTTGCAAGAAGGATGTTGGGTTAATGAGGTATATCCAGTCCTGCATCTCTGTTTCCAGCGAAGAGCCAGAGCAATCCACTCTACTTATTCTGCTTTCTGTTAATACTAATATAAGCTCGCTCTCGCTTTGTGTGTGAGCGAGAACATGATATTTTAAAAATTGATAGTTTGAATTTTGACCCAAAATTAAAAAGCTTGTCATCTATAATTCATGTAGTTGACCCAGAGATGAACTTTAATTAGGGAGAGATGAACTTTAATAAGGGAGAAGGGTGATTGAGCAAAATGATGTTATGTACTTTGCATTATTTGGTTTTGAAGATAATTCTTTTACTGAATCGCTATTCGTCGCCCTAAAATTTAAATTTTTTCGCCCTAAACCATATTACATTGACGTTTATACCCCTATTTTCAATTTCAATCCTCAACCCCTAACTTCCCATGAGCAAATTTCCGGCCGCCGCCGCTGTTCACTGCACACTCTCCTTTTCTAAAGCGATAAATCTGTAAAAGAAATGAAGTAAAATGAAAATCTAAGCAGACTGAATAAAAAATTCATGAGTCCAAATTATTATATCCCAATAATCCTTCCATATTGGAGAGACTCTGTTTCAGCTCTAATCCACAACCTAGCTACTCTTCGTTCTCTTTCTCTTCCTGTTCCTGGTACGTGCCTTCTTCTTTCAATCCCTTTTATCTCCCTACTGTCTTATTTTGCTTTCCAAGTTGTTAACGTGTTCTCTTTGTTGATTGTGCTCGCTCCTTTTCCTTTACATTTTAAATTTGTTTCTTTTACTGTTCTGTTTAGTTTGGTTGCGCAGAAAGTGAGGGATTCCAACCAGTCTCCCCTGCTCATGACCTTCTCACATACAATATAGAATTAGAAACCAAGGCAGAGGGGAAGAAAGAAGTGGGACAGAAATGGGTTATCGATCTCTTGAACTCCGACTTGGGTTTCATATAGGAACAAGAATAGTAGAATATTTAAAGTTAGGACGAGAAAGTGAAATAAGGGCGATGGGTATTATAGTAAATTTAACATAATTAGGGCGACGAATAAGAATTTTTAGGGCGACGAATAGCAATCCCCTTCTTTTAGGGCTAAATTGCAAGTTTGGTCACTTGAATTACTTGTAAATTTCACGTTAGCCACTAGAATTACTTTATTTCATCCTTAGTCACTTAAATTAGGTTAACAGTTCAAGTTTGGTCACTAGCCGTTAGTCTCCGTTAACTTTTGCTGATGTGGCGGTCAACTCTTATAGTTGACTGTTAAATGAGTGACGTGGCAATTTAAAAATTAATAAAATAATATTTAATTTTTAATAATTTCCACTCATTATTACAATAAATTAAAAATGATTAAAACAAAAAAATGTCATAAACAACGCCGTGAGTGGCATGCATATGCACGTGCACGTGACCACCGTCGCCGCCATCCGTCGCCTCAAGATTGCCGCCGTTCTTCTGAAACTTTAAGGGTTTTGGTTTTGGTGGGTGTGGAAGTGAAAGTGGAATTGAGCTACTTCTTGTCTTTCTTCTTGATGAGCTGAGGAGTATCAACTGTGGAATTGGTGGCTTCTCTTCGTGGTAAGTAGAGAATCACTACTGCTGGCCCTGGACTTGGTGGGTGATGTTGATTTAATAGAATTGGAGGATTTGGAGGTAACAAGTTTGATCTGGTTCTTCTTACTGCTGGAAGAAGAAGTAGACAGAGCATCTCCAATTGTAGCAGAGTTGGTAGTAGTCTTCTTGGTGAGTTTCATGGTTTGGTTCTTGTTAGCAGAGGATATGGTAGATTTGGAAAGCTTGGTGCTTGGTGTTGCTTGTGACGATGATAGGCTGCTGTTGCTGCTCTTTTTCTTGGGCAGTTGTGGTTGCTCATCGTCATCGTTGTCTAAGGAAGCGGCAGAGTGGAAAAGAGGGGACGTGAACAAGAAGACGAAGAAGGAGTGCAAGAGTAGCTTCCTGAATCTCGCATTGCTGGTGGCTTCTAAAGTGTGTGGCAAGTAGTCGAATTGGAAATGGGATTGAATGAAATCTGAGTTTTGGGGCTGGGAATGAAATAAGAAAAGAAGATCCAATATCTAGGTATTTGGGAATGAAATTTGGATTGTTTCTATATTAGACCTCCATTGCCTCAGCAGCAGTCGCATCAGCTCCTCATTCACCCTCGCCTTCTCCCTCCTCACCGGTCCACCGTCTCCTGCCGTCGGATACGACGCTCGATCTCCCCTGCCTCGGCCTCCACGGCCGAGATCGTGCGGTAGAGCGCGCGGACCGCACCAGCTTGGTACGCTGCCTGGATCCTTGTCGCCGCCGCGCGGCGGCGGATCTGGTGTCGGTGGATGGTGGTTTGTCGGAGGGAGTAGTGGTGGAGTGGATAGAAATTTGCTTAGATCTAACTTATTTTTTAATTATTGTGAATTTTTTTTGTTTTAATTATTTTTTAATTTATCGTAATAATGAGGTGGAAATTATTAAAAATTATATTTTATTATTTTATTATTTTTTAATTGCCACGTCACTCATTTAACGGTCAACTATAAGAGTTGACCGTCACATCAGCAAAAGTTAACGGAGACTAACGGCCCGTGACCAAACTTGAACTATTAACCTAATTTAAGTGAATAAGGATGAAATAAAGTAATTCTAGTGGCTAACGTGAAATTTACTAGTAATTCAAGTGACCAAACTTGCAATTTAGCCATTCTTTTAGTATTCAATAAACTTTTTATGGGAAAGATCACTTTTGCCCTTGCTTTTTTATTAGAACGCATATATATAAGTATAACTAGTGGTATAATTGTAACAAAAAAGAAACCCAACAATCTCCCAAAAACTATCTCAACAATCTCAAGTTTTAGTAGAGATATTACTATCAATCATTTTGAGTGATAGTTTCCATCACATCAACAAAACAATGCATGTTTTGTTTATGAAGAAAATTCAAAAAAACAATGCATTGTGGACAATGCATGTATTGTAACTATCTCAACCAAACAATCACCGAAAACAAACGACCCCTATGTTTAATATTTTCTCTAGTTTGTATTTTTTTTTTTGCTTTGTTTTTTTAAAGTCCATCTTGATTCTCCTTTTTATGGATTTTCGAGACTAATCGCAAGTTTGAGCAGGTTCAACTCACTTTGGCGGGTCGAATTAGGTTGAACCCATGGGTCTGGGTTCAATTTCATTCTCAACGAAAAAGGAAAAGAGAAATTAACAAACACCTAGAGCAGATAAAACTCGCTCACGACCCAAAATACGGGAACATTATGTTCAACTCTCTTTGAACAAGTTGAACAGAGTTTGTAACAAATTCACAACCGACCCGACCCGCCAATTACAAAAGCGAATAAAACTCACTCCCGCCCGAAAACTTGTAAGAACCGGGTTCAATTTGTTTTGATCAGGTTGTATTAGGTTGGATACCCATAGGGTTTTGTGCTCAACCAAAGGTAAAAGGATAAATAAAAAAGGACTAAAGCGGATAAACTCGCTCCCTACCAAAAACTCTACACGTCAGCTAAACATGTCAATTCTAAAATAAGATAAAACTCGCTCTCTATACAAAACTCGTCAACACTGGGTTCGGGTTCAATTGTTATTCTCAACCAAAAGGAAAGGGAGAAATAAAAAAATATTAAAGCGGACAAAACTCTCTTTCGATAAAAAACTTGTCAACGCCGTATTCAGCTCGCTTGGATTGGGTTGAATTGAGTTTTTAACAAATTCACACTCGACCCAAAAGCAGATAAAACTCGTTCTTGATACAAAACTCGTCAATACCATGGGTCTGAGTTCAATTGTCATTCTCAACGGAAGGAAAAATTAGAAATTTAAAAATACTAAAATCAGGTTCAAAGTCGCTTTGACCTAGTCGAATTATGTTGGATATCCATGAGTTTGAGTTCAATTGTCATATGCTTAAAGAAAATGAAAAGGAGGGATAAGAAAACACTAAAGAATATGAGACTCGGTCATGATACAAAATTCGGGAACACAAAGTTTTTCGATAGCGATCTTGGGATACGGTGGATGGGTACAACCTAGGATTTCACCGAGAATGTTTGGAGAAGGGTTTTGCATTATTGGGCGAATGCGAGGATTGTGCATAATAGATATGGTATGGATCCTCAGTAGCAGTCGTGGCAAACGGTGGAAGAGGACAACTTATGATTTTGTCGATAATGTTTCGAGATGGTTGCGAATTGGTGGGCCAAGACGATGATTTGGCCAAAATATCATAGACGAAAGCGTAATGAATAATTGTTGCAATAGTGAAAGCAATGAACAATAGATGAAAACTTAGTAGACAATAGATGAAAACTAGTAGACTATTATGGGAAACCTAATAAGTAATAACTAATATGGGAAACCTAATGGAAAATAGATGTAGAACCGACGGACAATAGATGAACACATAGGTTATTGAATAAGAGAGTGGGACAAAAGAAAGACTTGAGACTTCCCCACTTGCACTTGGAGAAGTTTGGGAGCCACTAAGAAAGAGAGGTATTATTCGTCTCCCTAAGAATTTATCTCCAGTGCAAATACATGCATACCCTTCTTACTTGGTCGTTCAAAAAGATTTCCCATGGCCAATTACCATCTACCCTGCTCGTTGGGCTGATCCTGGAGGTCGTCATCGTCTCCGACAAGCTCACCGGCAATCCCCAATCCCCTTCCCTTCTATTCCAATTCCCCCAATGAATTAATTATTCATCTAATTAATCAAAATTAAAATCAAGACCACAGGTGACTTTCAAGGAGCCGAAGCTACAAAGAAGCCCTCTGAGGACGCTACTCCCATCATCAACGGTCGCCGCGCTAACTGTAATCTCGCCCCGAAGGATCAAAGAAGGATCTAACAGAACCAGGCGGCAGCAAAGGAGGTGGTGCAGCCAAGGTAGATAGTGGAGCGTCTCCAGAGGGACATGGGGAACAACGATTTGGATTCTCCTTCCTACTTGACTCGGTGGCAGGGCA